ATGGTGCCTTCCCATCGAATTCCTGTGGCTTCCTTTGTACTAGATTACCCTTATTGCTGACATTGATATCTGGGATGTGACTTCTAACAGGACTAAAAATGTCTGCATTAGGGTTTAGCTGCGGGGTCTGGAAGGGACTTCCCATTGTCTGGTGCTGAATAATGTATCCTCCTTGTGTAAAAGACAATAAATCATCCTTTAACGTACTTAATTCGCTTTTAAATTTACTAATGTTTTCCATTTGTGTGCTCTGGCTTTCTCTTAATTGTTGGAGACTTTCCTTTTATTTATCTTCTTTCTCCTCTATCAACTGCTGTAATCTCTCTTCTTGTTTCTTTTCTTTTTCCTCCAACAACTGCTGTAATCTTTCTTCTTGTTTCTTTTCTTTTTCCTCTAACAACTGCTGTAATCTCTCTTCTTGTTTCTTTTCTTTTTCCTCCAACAACTGCTGTGATCTCTCTTTTTATTTCTTTTCTTGCCACTGGGGGGCAGGAAATTGTACAAGTAAATTTATTTATGTATTAGTCGTCATACCATAAGTGAATAAATCTCTGTTGAAAATAAAAAAAATATTTTGGACTAGGACCTACAGCTGTGTACAAGTGATAGTAGCTTGTAACAAACATTAAGAAAGAAAGAAAGTAATTTGTTATCTTTAGGTGAGATTGGCTGCGTATTGGTTTCACCAAATAATTTAAACGAACCCACCAATGAAAGAACACAATATAACAATATGTACTGTGGTAATTATATCCGTCTTTACCAAATGATTTATTCAGATTTTCGTCTATGATACCGGTAGAGTCCTCACCAGTTAGATAGTAATGCTGCTTATTCGTTCCGCTTGTTTTGTACCTACGAATAAAGTGTTTATTTTTCAGTTTTTCACATTTTTCTTCATCGTGTCCAGTCTCTTTTCTCCAACTATTTCAAATCATAAGTTCAGATTAACCAAATAATCACCAATAAATCTTCTACAAGTTCTTAAGTATAACTTCGTGATATTTATTCTGCCGAAACTCTAGTCAGAGCAGTTAGTATTATTGTCTGAAAGCAATCAGCAAACCTGCGAATAATTCAGTTTTAACAAACTTTAGTCATTTCATGAGGTTTTGAATACTACAGTAAATAATACAGATGTTACCGTTTTGATGTTAAAGTAACAGAAAACGTAAAAGCCTAGATTTAGACCTGTTAACCACTAAAATTAATTTTCTCTCCTTTAGAGTTCTTGTTTTTTCTTCAATATTGATGTTAGTGACGGAATTAGTAATGGTGCTGTTACGTCTCTGTTTGTTTATTAATTTCCGGTATAAATTATTTTCGAGGAACTTCAGCAATACAAGTCCTTTCTTAAATAAAACTAGTTTATTCTTTCTCGAAGCAACTTTGCAATACACAGAATTTCCACAGTCACTTTAACTTAACTACTTTTATAAACACACGCTATAATT